TTTGGGCCTTTCTTGAAGGGCCGCGAGTAGCTGAACTTCTGGACGTGGTTGGCTTTATAGAAACTGCAGGGGAGGGAAGGGGCAGAGATGGGAGAGATCCCCGGCTGTGTCCCTCCCGTGGAGCAGAGCGGGGACACCCCCTCCACTCTGGGGCACTCACTTGGTGATCTGCTCCGGGATGCTCCGGTCATTGAACCGGACCTTGGCTTCCTCCACCGGCTGCACGGTGAAACACTGGATATCTGCGGGAGTGAAGGAGCCACAGGCGCACACCACGGGGTTCGAGGGCAGCAGGGGAGAGGGGCCGCAGGGTCTGGGGGGGCACGCCCCGGGGCACAGCGGGGGACGGCCCTGGGGGTCCTTGGGGAGGTGCTGCGGGACCTGTGGGAGGGGGTGATTGCACAGGGGACGAGCCACCCTCCCAGTCCCATCCCTGCACCGGGAGGATACACTGGCCCGGGGAGCTGGTGATGTCCTTGCCGGGGGGAGACGTGCTCTTCAGCTTCTCGGCATTGGGGAAGGGGCTCAGCAGCCGCATCTCGAAGTCCTCCCGGCGCTCATACTCCTTGCCCCGGTAAATGAAGACCTTGTTCTGCGGGGGAAGAAGATGGCAGCCTGTCCCAATGGGCTGAGGAGCCTTCACCCCTTCACCCGTGCTCTGACTGCAGCAAGATGCAGCGCATTAGGGGTGCAGGCGCTGACAATGCTGAGCCCCCAGCTGAGTGGGAGAGGCCCCTCTCGAAAAAAATATTCCCAAGCCCAGCAACTGGAGAAAAAGGAATTAAAGGGTTTGCTGCCTTGGACAGTTGGGCTCTGGAGCGAAGTTCTTTGGCCGAGCACGCAGTGACTGGGGTTTGCAGTTGGTGGATATCGAAACCACCCAGGAGACAGCAAGGAGCCCTTGAAACCCACCATGAACTCTGTGAAAACGATGTCACCCTTGCTGTGGCCATAACAGCGGGGTAGGAAAATAAGAAGGAACACTCTGGATGGCAGAAGCCCACCAAGCATGCCAACTTACATCTGAGTGGATTAAAAACCTAAGGGAAGCAGTAGGAGTGAACGACCGTGAAACACTTTGCTCTCTTCCAGAAAGACGAGCCCTGCCCTTGCGCGTGGACACCAGGAACCTGTTTGCCAGCTCAGGAAAAGGGAGAGGTGCTGAGCAAACCCTTGCCTACAGCACTGCCCAGAGGGATGGGAGAGGGTCGGGGGGCTCCTGCAGTGACCCCAGAGGTACCCGAATCTGCCCACACATAGCACTGTTAGCACGGACCCTTCTCTGCACCACAGGTACGATATGACACACACCTGCCCCTGCACCCCAGAGACGACACGGTGCAGACACGCGTGTCTGTGCACCGCAATCACGGAACAGCACAGGTACAGCCACACACTGGGGATGGAGCTGCCACTGCCTCGCCACAGGCCACAGGGAGAGCCCGGCAGAGGTACAACATCCCCGTGTGCTGAGAACACAGTCTAGGAGCCCCTTTGTCATGTCTTACAGAGAACCACAACTTTCCATGCCTTGCTTTTTGTCCCTAAATCTGTCTCCAACCGTTTGTAAAAAGGGACCCTAATCCACGGTGCTGCTAGAGTGAAGCTGCTGGTTTAATCTGAGAGCTGCCAACCCTTTCCAGCGAGCAGGGACAGAGGTGGCAGACACAGAGGTGAGCACGGAGCACCTCCAGGCACAGAGCATGGTGGGCGTGCTCACCAGCAAAGCCAAACCCGCCCAGACCTGGCAGCACCCTGTGCCAGAGGGATGAAGGCATGGCCGGCCGCCTGTGGGCAGGGACACAGAGGAGAGGGGCTTCGGGATGGAGCCCACCCTGCCATGCTTCTCATCCTTGGAGAAGGCTCGACAGGACAAGCTGCTGCCTTAGGGGCAGAGGGTGCAGCGTGTGCTGGGAAGGGAAGCGTCCTCCCTGGGCGCTGACGGAGCCGGACGGCACCCAGGGCCATGGTCACAGCCGCTGCCCGTCTCACACATGGCCTGGGCAGAATTTGCTGCTTCGGGATGGAGCCCACCCTGCCATGCTTCTCATCCTTGGAGAAGGCTCGACAGGACAAGCTGCTGCCTTAGGGGCAGAGGGTGCAGCGTGTGCTGGGAAGGGAAGCGTCCTCCCTGGGCGCTGACGGAGCCGGACGGCACCCAGGGCCATGGTCACAGCCGCTGCCCGTCTCACACATGGCCTGGGCAGAATTTGCTGCGCACCCGAAGTGAGAGCTGCCACTGTGAGACATTCCGTAGGCTCGTTTGTGAGCAGGGGGCAGAGCTGGGGCACCCACCGCATGCACGACCCTCCCTGCTGCTGGAGCACGGGCCGAGAGCTGGGGGTCAGCGCTGGAGCCACAGCTCCGCCAGCGCTCCCGCAGGGCTCTGGCACGGCGACCGGGATCTGCAGGAGCGGTGGCTCCTCACCCGCTGCTGGGGCTGGGGCTGTTTGCTCTGTGCTTTTTGCTTGTGGACAGCGTCCTGACCCTAGCACACCCCTGTCTTAAAAGCAGTGCACCCCGACAGTGTGGCCCACAGCCCCTGTGCCGCACCCCGCAGCGAGCCGGGCCGTCTTCCCGCAGGTGCTGACTTACCCGGAGGAAGGTGGGGAAGCCTTGCCCATAGTAGCCCACGGCGAAGTAGTCCGGGCTGGGCCGCAGCACCTTCAGGATCTTCTCGTAGAACTTGGCTTCCCGCTGCTGCAGGGGAAGAGGGGCAGGAGTGGGGACGGGCAG